CTGTGTTAATTCTTCTTGTAAGTCTTCCTTTGAGACTGCCTCCAGGTTTCTAAACACCCCAGCATTATTGCTTCTTGGCCTCTTGGCTAAGATCAAGTGTAAACTCCCCCAGCATTTGTGTCCTGCCTTCTCTATGGTGTTGTATGGTCCTTTGTTGTGTGTTTAGGTATAACATTTGGTAGTCCACAGCTGCTGAATTTGCAATAAAGAGACCTTGACAGGGCTCATAGAATATACCCTCCAAGCATCTAGGAGGGCAGGTGGGTTGGGGCAGAGTGTGGCCATGTCAGAGAGTGGATGGCTGTCAGAGGCTGGGTGCATTCTGCCTGTTTTGTGGAAGTGAGAAGGTGGAATTAGCTGCTTTTCGACTGGTTTCCCTCAGATATCACTGGATGCCTTGGTTCAGTCTGAATCTGCTGCATCTTCAAGGAGAGGCATCTTTTTTCTTCTGTTATTGCTGCTGCTCCTCCCTGGCTTCCTCCTCCCTGTGATTGCAGTTGACACAGACTTCCGCTGCCAAAGCTAATTGTGAGGCCTGATCAGTGAATGAAGGCAAAAGCAGTTCCCATGACAACTGCAAAGAGTTTCAAATATGAGGAATGATGTGTGTGATGGGCTGCAATTACTTGGGTGGAAATTGATGCGTGGACACCAGGGACTTCAAACATAGGCTCTGAAGGTAGAGGGGCTGTTAGGTTTCTTTGGCAGGATCCTTTGTGTGATAGAGAGGGAAGGAGGTCACAGACTTCCCTCACAGTGGCTTCTGAGTACCTTCAGGATGTGAAACATTGGGCAAAACCCCCAGGGTACTTTGGAAAGGCACTGGGGCTTTGGAGAGGCACAGCTCTAGCCTGTTTGGGGGACAGGACACAGACAAATTCCAAGCATCAAATGAGAAAGGTTAGAAGTGCTATAGGCTGGCAGAGGGCTGGGTTACCTAAGGCGGCTTCCTGGAAGCAGGGCTAGAACCAGGTTTGAAGGAATCTCTGTGGAGGGTGGCCTTATTCAGGACACAGTCATAGCAAGGGAAAGAAGCTTGTTTCTCTGTATCCCCTGCCAGCTCTAAAGAGGTAGGTGGATTTGAAAATCATAGACCTACGGATGAGCTCTGACTGTACCACTACAAATGAGGGCTAGTGAGTCCTGCACATTTTCTAGCTTTGTGACCTTGGGTAAGGTGCTTAGCCTCTCTGTATCCCAGGTTCTCCATCAGTAGGATGGGCATGAATAACTCCTGTCTCATTGGTTTGTTTTGAAGGTTAAATAAGAGTCTGTATATTGTGCCTCCAAAATATGGGGTCTCCATGGGGTATTTGATTGCTGCTCTTACAACTCTCCCTGTCCCCCCAGTATGTGTCTGGAGATGTTCACATTGCCTGGTCTTTGAGTGGAGTTTCACCCATGGGTGTCCATGTTCCTGAGATTCTTGGTATGTCCTGAAAGTGGGTGAAGCCATTTGCCTCTGCCGAGTGTGGAGGTCTACGAACCCACCCTTCTGTGGTGGGAGTGCAGAGGTGTCCCATGTACCTCTAGGCTTGTCACTGAACCCTCAAATGTAGGAAGAAGGGCATATAGAGATAGTCAGGTGTGTAGTGAAGTTTCCTGGCTGGAGGCAGTGGCCCTGGCATGCACCACTGTAACTGTCTTGAACCTTTGGATGCCAGGTTCCTCAGTAGAGGGAAGGAGGCCAGGATGGAATGAGTATGGGAGGTAGACTGCCTCAGGCAGGATGGGAACCTGCTGCTGGGGTAGGCATAGGGATATGGTTTGAACAGGCAGTTGGGGTGAGATTGTGGTTCTGTGGTTTCTGCAAGCTGGTGATGAAGGCATGTGCTGGCTGAACAGATCTGGGATTCAGCTGCAGTTCACTTATGACAGGTCATGCCCTTCCAGGTGAGCATATGTCCCCCTGGCTCCTTGGGGACCTCAGTGAGAAGACCACCCAGAAAAGGGACCTCTCCATCTCAGTGCCCAGCCCCCTGCCTCTCCACCCTCTTCGCATAGAAACTCAGCTCAGCACATTCCAGCTCCGCACAGAGCCTACTAAAGGGGGAAGCCAGGGCCCCTGCCTACATGGGGAAGACTGCCATGTAAATAAATAACTGTGCTTTGTTGTGACTAGTGCCCTAGAGAAAGCAGTACACTGCTCTCTGAGGACACTGGAGGAGCCTGGGCCACTCATGCAGACTTGATGACTGAGAAACTGGCAGAGGGAAGGCACTATTTGCATTAAGCCTTGTCCCACCGTTTTTTAGGAGTAGGAGGGGCACCCAGGCAGAAGGAGCAGCATTGAGAAGGCTCCAAGTATGAAAACATTACTATTCTCAGATCTGTAGCTTAAAGGGAAGTTTGAGTAACCCCAGTTCTTTTTGCATCTCTCTGGAGTTGGCAGGGGGTTGGGAGAGAGGGAGTGTTAAGAGAACCGGAATGAGAGAGGCCTGGGTTTGAATTCCAGCCCACCACTCACCAGCTGTGTTGACAGTAAGTAACTTCTTGCATCTCTAAGCCCCTCCATTTCCCTGTAATAGACAAGGTTGTGTGTGGAGCAAGTCAAATGAGATGATCCTACAATGCGGTTGGCGTAAAGCCTGGTATGTATCAGGGGCTTGATAAACTGTAGCAGCCGTAACAGCAACAGTATTAATTGATACAGTCCAAGAAGTGATAGTCTCTTTTATCCACCAGAAGACTATGTGTGGAATAAAGGGGTGGGGGCAGGGTTTTAGAGACCAGGATTAAGAAGGGGCTCTACTTGGGCTGCTCAAAGTAAGAGTTAAGAGGCATAAAAGCCCAGTTTTCCACCCAAAGCCATGGTTTGAGACATTGTTCTTTACTCTTCCTTATAAACTGTTTCCCTTCTTACTTGTGAGGAGACCAGTTGGGCTGCCTTTTGTCCCCAGGGGAAGGCAGATGTGGCCCCTGGTGCCTCCTGGAGTCTCCTCACCAGAGGCCAGTTTGCTGTCTCTCCTAAGGCAGCTCATTCTGTTTGGAGTACCCCCTTGGGGCCCGGGGTAGTTGGGGGGAGGACAGCAATTAGGCATCTGTGGTGGAGCGAATCACTGGCTCGGGGTTGTCATGCATCAATCTAGCCCTATGAGTCACTTCTCTCTGGCCTCAGCTTACTCATCTGTGAGATGAGAAATAGCACCCAGTGAGCTCTTCCCAGAAGTGAAGAGTGCTGGTAGCTAGCAACAGGCAGAGTGGCAAACAGCGTGCTGCGTTTCTTCATGCGAGCTTCACAACTATATGAGGTAGCTGCTAGCTCTATCTTACAGATGAGCCAAGAGAGGCTAAGAAAGGTGAGTTAACACTGGCCAGGTACTGGACAGCAGCTGGAGGCAGGATGATAAGCCCTTCCTCCTCTCCTCCTTCCTCCCGCCTTCCTTCTCCTTCAGTGTGCTGGAGCCTGGGATCAAAGTCAGAATTGTGGGTTCTGGAGTAAGTGGGATGTAGACACTGCGATGTTCAGATGCTGGGAGGGGATGGGGCAGAAAAAGAATTGAATCCAAGAGTGGACTGCAGGGCTGTCTTTTTTTTTCTTCTCTGTTCTTGCCCATCCTGCCTGCCCTTCAGTTATAGGGCATTGTAGCCTTCAGAGGCTTTGACTGGAAGAGCTTTAGGGGTCTGGGCCACTAACCTGTCTCTTCACCTTCTGGATATGCAAATCCCTGAGGCCTGGGGGGATTCCTGGGGGGGGTACTTCGGAGAGAGGAAAACCCTGGTGAAGTGGGTATGTTCTTGCAGCAGCATTGAGTGATCCTAGTTAGAATAAAGTGGGCGTTTGAGCGTCCCCAGAGAACACAGCTGACTTGGGGAGGCTGGGTCACAGGCATTGTGGGCTTCCAGAAGCAGCCTATTTTTTTTTTTTTTAATCTTTTTGATGGTACCGGGGATCGAACTCAGGACTTTGTGCTTGTGAGGCAGCCGAGGTGCCACTGAGCTGAATCCCCAGCCCAGCAGCCTGTTTTCTGAGGTGGGTACTAAAGGGCAGGGGAAGCAAAAATACAGAATGGTTTTTAGAGTCCACAAACCTTACATGGAGTTACGGCTTTGCTATGTTCTAGCTGTGTCACCTTGGGTAAGTTACTTCACTTGTCTGCCTTGTTTCCTTATCTGCAAAATGGAGTAAAGGTCCGTGCCACCTCGGCTTTTTCTTCTTGGAGGACTGAAGGCTGTTGAGACTCATACTCTTGTGTCCTAGCGGCTGCCAGGATAAGGCTGGCTAGAGAGTGGCGGAGGTGGGAATCCCACCAGCTCCTGCCCTATCCTAGGCGCAGTCTGTCATCTTTGACCCTGGAGGCACAGAGGACGCCTTCTCCCTGTGTCCTTCAGGGTGGCCTCGGGAGGAGACGGGGTGCCCCAGGATCCCCATGCTGTTACAGTGCATCGGCAGGCCTGGGAAGCAGCCTTAGCGGCTCCGTGCGCCCTAGCGGCGCCCCCACCTCCCGGCTGGGCCGGTCCACCGGCGGGGGCAGGGCCGGCCGCAGGATTGGCTGGCGCGCGCGCCGCCCCAGCCTCGCGCTGGGGGGGGGGGGGCTGGCGGGGAGCGCACGGCAGCTGGCCGCCGCCGCCTCTGCAGTGCCTCCCTCTGTACGCTCCCTCCGGCGGGGATAATGGGAGGCCCGGCGGCGGCCGATACACCAGAGGAGGCCGGCAGAGGTAGCGCTCACAGGGCTAAGAGGGACGGGCAGGCCGGACGCTGGCGGGGGCGAGGGACCAGTGCCCTCTCGGATCTCGGGAGGGTTCAGAAAGGAGAAATGAAAACAGAAACACACAGGAAGGCGAAGGAGCCCATCGGCTCGGGTCTGGGCGGCAGCTGGAGGCAGGAAGATGGTCCCTGCTAGCCTTTCTTCCCGAGGCCCCTTCCCTCCTCTCCTTCCTCCTCCTCCTCCTCCTCTCTTCCTTCCTTCCCCTTCAGTGTGCTGGGGGTTGCTGCGGAAGGACTTTGCTTCTTTTCTGGTACCAGCCTGGCTCATCAGTCTCTTTGGCTTCTTTTGCAGGTGGAAATAAAGGCTGGTGAAGGAGCTGGGCCGTGGACGCAAGGGGCGGCTGTCAAGGTACCTCGTGTTGTGTGTGTGTGTGTGTGGTGGGGGTGAAGTATTTGACTGGATTGGATAAAAATAAAGGGTCTCCTCTGGTGATCCCTTAATCTCCCACTGTGTGTGTAGCAGCAGCTGAGGGGGAGGGGCGGTGGGAGTGTGGGCGGCCAATGAATTCTCAGGCCTGTGTGGGTTTTGTTTGGATTCTTTTTGCTTTCTCAGCTGGATGGTTTGGGTGCAGTCGGGGTTTGGTTTGTTGAACTCTTTTTCTTTTTCTTTTTTATTTTTAAAGACATGCAACCCACTCCCCACCCCTAGAAATCTCTGGAGAATGTCCCTGGCACTGTTAGTTTGCATCCAATCTGCAGAAATCCCGGGGGGTGTGGGGGGGTGGCAGAGAGGGGGAGGGGGATTTGCGCTTCTGACTCTGAAGCTGATAGGGTGTCATTAGTCATGCTGCTGTCACCATGGAGATGGCTGGAGAGGAGGTGGTGGGGGTGAGGATATTTTGGGTAGGGTGGGGGCTGATGCAACGTCATGACTGAGAAGCCTGCGGGCGTCTGCTGTTACTCTGTGTAGCTTGGTATCTGGGGGACTGGGAAGGGACTGTTCCCAGGTGTGTGGGAAGTAGAGAAGGAGTATTGAGCTTCTCAAGGTGGTTGACTGAAGGCGGGGGCAGGGGTATGTGGGGCACAGGAATGGAGAGTCTGGTTGGGTATCTGTCATTACTAGGAAACCACTGATAATCTTTTCAGTTTGGCAAGGACCAGATCTGTGTTTTCCTTGGGTGTTACCCCTGTTTTCAGGGCTGGGCCCCCACTATGAGTTTGGGATTACTCAGCAGTATCCTCTACTGGCCCAGGGCAGAGGAAACAGTAGGAGACAGCGTGGTATGACTGTCTCTCAGGAAACAGAGGGACTTGGAAGACTAGGGGAACAGGTGGGCAGGGGCTGGCAGGTTGGGACTCTTCCTATCAGAAAGGAAGCTGGAAGAGCCTGGATGCTTGGGTAGCAGGTGGGTGAGCTGCTAGTATCCCCACATGCTCTTAGCCTCTCCTCCCTAGAAATTCTCCTCCCACTTCCTGGAAAAGCTGTGGGAAGCTCCTTGGAGGTGCTGGAAGTGGCATCCTGCCACTTCATTGTCTGAATGGGGACACTGGCAGGGTAGGGCTCTAGATCACATCATGGGATGAAGGCTCTTGAGCAAGGCTGCAATGTGTATCAGGAGGGCAGGATGTTTCCTTGGCTTCCTCCCACAGAACTTGAGGCCAGAAAGTGCTTGTGGGAGAGCATGGATTTTGCTTCTGGAGCAGCTTCTGGGGGAAGGAGATGAGCCAGGTTGCACTGTCAGCTCCCAGGGGAGTTCACATGCTTTGATGAGGCTAGGAGCAGTGGGCAATCACCTGGGATGAGATTGGGGGAGGCCCTGAGGCAGGCAGAGGGTTGTGTATACCAGTGATGCCATGGGTGCAGAGGACAGAGCTGTGAGCTCACCTCGGCTCACTCATTCGCTCTCATTCGCTCTCACTCCCTCTCCAGAGAAAAATCCCCAGGTTTTACCTCTGCTTCCTCCCTTGGCTCTCTACTGTTTACTAGGAGTTTTAGTCACCTTCTGTGCTGTAGCAGGGCCATGGGCTCTGAGATAATGGAGTGGACCTGTCCCCACCTCTCCCCCACCTCTACCCTGACTGGGGAAAGCAGGACCAGGGGTCAGGGACAGATGGGCTCAGAGGGGGCAGGTCCCTCCTCTCTCTCTATCTCCAGCCTTTTCAGCAGCGCTTACTTCTCTGTTGAGGGCAGGCACTGGTGTTGGGTCTGTTTACTCCAAAAGCCCCCATCCTACCTTCCTCAGTGATGGCTGTCCTTGGTAGACCTGTTTCCTGTCCCTTCTTTTCAAGTCTTCTTTCTGCTCTTCTCTCCGGTTCTCCACCTTCAGTTCTGCTGGTCTGGGATAAGGCTGGTTTTCTGTAGACCTGCTGGAAGCTCCCAGACTAGTACCCAGTTCTTGTGGAGTACCTTCATAGGTATGTGGAAAAGGCTGCTTGAAAATCCACAGAAACCCTCCTTTTTCCCTCCTCAGTAAGTCTTAGCTGGCTGTGTTCTTACAGCTCTGAGGTTCTGTCTGTGCTTGTTTTTTTTATTTTCTGTCTGAGAATCATAGCTTCCTCAGCCTGGACACTGCCAGCAAGCACTCATTTATAAGCTTTCCATTCCTGGTCCTGCTTTTCCTGTACATAGGGTGTCTCAGGTGGGCAGTTGGGTGTGGTATCCCAACATACCCTGAATAAGGCAAGTTTGCCAAATCCTTTTCCATCATCAGATCATGGTATAAGATTAAGTGTTGGCTGGGAATGTAGCTCAGTGGCATAGCTCCTGCCTGGCAAGCGCAAGGTCCTGAGTTTGATCCCCGGTACCGAAAAAAAAAGATTAAGTGTCTGATGTGTGGGGCTGTTTTGAGATCATGTGAAGATGCTGAGACACAGGACAAAGGAGGTATCACCATCCATGTTCCCATGGGATGAGTACGGGAGAAATAAGCCCCATGGGTGAATAGTGTTGAGCAGCCAGAGGGAATATGCACGTCCCCTGTGTGTTAATTCTGTCAGGGATCAGGAATATCATGATGTACAGTTTGGGTGTACACAGTGCCTAGCACAGGCACAGAACTGAGCACGATTGAATATAAGTTGTCATTTTACTGTCGTGTCTACCCATGATACCCCAAGGTACAGGCCATTGCATACACTGTTGCCCAGGAGCTAGTACCCAGTGCCAGGAGCACCAGGCATCCTTGCTTTTGGGTTCCCACATCTCCCATACTTGCCCCATGGGAACACTCCATTGGCTAAGGATTTCTGGAAACTATTTTGGGATCATGTCCAGGATCTCTGCCTTCTGTCTCTCCTTTGACCACTGCAAAAATGCACTGTTGTCAAGAATCTCTGATCATCATATTTCCACATACTGTAGGTCACTCCTGCTACTTCTTTCTTGCTTGTGAAGGTCCAGAAGGATCCCTTTCTGAGGTCTGTTTACAAACAGCAGTGAACTTGGAAATATGGAGCAGGAAGGGAACCAATCAAGAGGATTTCAGAGTTGAGTTTGAGGATAGAGCAAGGGGAGAGGGCTTCCCTGTGCATGCTAAGAGCAGGAGTTAAATACCAGGGCTCAATTCCACCTCCTTGGTGAGTCTAGCCCTTTCTGATTGTTGAGGAAGAGAGCTTGGTGTGATAGCCAGAGTGAGCTGAACGGAGAGCCTTCCAGCTCAGGATGGTACAGGGGCCCCGAGGCTATGGTCAAGTTTCACCATGATGGCTCTGCATTCCTCATGCTGGGCTGGTGAGGAGTGCCTGGGTGCTGGGCTCCTCTAGCTGCAGATGGACATTTCTGCTAGAAATGAGCTTTGTGATCTTGCCAAGTTCCCTCCCATACCCTGGAGGCTGCCACAAATGGTTGGGGGCGGGCAGAGAGGGTAGGGAGGGGCTTTGGTTTGGCTTAGCTTTTGGGTCTCCCAATCTTCTTAAGTCCTTTCTTTCCCACTCCTGACCTCTTGGGCTTTTGGCCTCATTTCCTCTCACACCCAGACATCTGGCAGTCAGCTGAGGACTCCCCTTGTTCCCAGCGTCTTTGCAGTTTCGGAGAAGGAAGTAGCTTTCTTATGGATTCCTTTAGAAAACCTTCAGGCAAACGGGGCACAGGGTGGCTGGAATGATTAAAACATAAAGATTATTGTTCTAACCAGGACTAAGACCCCACCCAATCTGCTTTATCTCCCTTTCTTCATCCCTTTGTTTTTCAACATTTAACGTGCATTACTGCTCAGTACAGTACTAGGTACAGAAAAATAGTAGAAATCATTATTTGAATCTCACAAAGAGTTGGAAGAGATGACTTAATTACCTAAAATCATAACTAACTTTTTTTTTTTTTTTTTAAGACAGGGTCTCGCTTGGTAGTTTAGGCTGACCTTGAACTCACTATATAGTCAAGGCTGGTCTAGAATTCATGGTGATTGTCCTGCTTCAGTGTCCCGAGTGCTGGCCATCAGGCCTGCTAAAATCATAACTCTTAAATAGGGAAATCAGCATTGCTACTTTTTGTTTTCATGCAGTAAAGACCTTTGATCTTGTGTTTTGGCCTATGAACTTGTACACAGAAGACAAAATCCCTCATATCATATACACCCAGGTCTTTAACTTTGCTTTTTTTTTTGGTATCAGGAATCGGACTCAGGTCCTTGCACTCTTGAGGCAGGCGTTGGAACCACTGAGCTAAATCCCCAGCCTTTACCTTTGCTTTTTTTTGAGACAGTGTCTCGCCATGTCATTCAGACTAACCTTGAGTTCACTGTGCAGCCCAGGGTGGCCTTGAACTCACAGCAATCCTTCTGCCTCAGCCTCCTGAGTGTTGGGATTATAAGCATGTGCCACCATGCCCAGCCCTACCTTTGCTTTCTCTCTGGCTCCATAAACCTCAAGGGATATTGAAGGAAGAATCAACATACCAACCTTGTTTTCAAGAAGTTATTGTTTCCAAGAGCTAGGGGTGATGAGTCAGGATAGTGCTGTCAGAAGTGGACTTGCTGGGAAGGGAGCTTAGTTTTGTTCTATTTTGGCAGTACTGAGGATCAAACCCAAGACCTTGCCACAATGCTAGGCAAGTGCTCTACCACTGAGCTACATCCCCAGCCATTTTTGAATTTTATTTTGAGATAGGATCTCACTAAGTTACCCACACTGTCAAAATTGTGATCCTCCTGTCTTCAACCTTCCACATAGGTGGGATTATAGGTATGTGGCACCTTGCTTGGCAGGAACTTAATTTTGAAAGGAGAGCTTAGTTTGGGCTTTTAGGTATGTTGGCTTTGACATCTGGAAAAAGCTGGATGGAAATATTCTGCTTAAGCTGTGTATCCTAAACCTAAAATTGCTTTCAACTCATGTAAACTGCCAGTATCCCTTCCTGCTTCAGGGGCCTCTAGTGAAGCCCACTGGCTGAGAGGAAGGGGGCAAGAAACA